TAACTTATAAAGTATACCTACTTTATTCTATATAAAGAAGTAAGTAATACTAAAGAATATATATATACCTTCCTTAAGTATATTATTACTAACTATAGTATACTTAAAGAAATTATATTAAATAGAGATAAGATCTTTACCTCTAAATTTTAGAAGTTAATTATAATATAACTTAGTATTAAATAATTAATATCTACTATATTCTACCTATAGACTAATAAATAAATAAAACGAATTAATTAAATCCTTAAAACCTACCTTTATACCTATATTAACTATAATTAAAATAATTAAGTTATACTTTTATTAATTACTTAGTTTATTTATAATAATATAATTAGAGAAAGTATTAAGGAATCCCCCTTCTACTTTAATTATAGCTTTAAACTAACTACTTATAGAGAACCTTAAGTAAGTTTAGCTATAGTTAAAACTACTACCTTAGTATAATAAATTAAGGATATCTAAGATAATACTTATAAAGAACTTAAATTTATTTAATAATAAATATTAAGATTTAATAATAAATAAAGGATTAAAGGACTAACCTTAAAAGAGGGAGATAGTACCTACTTTATATAGTAAAATATTAAAATAAAATAACTAAGTAATAAACTTAACTATAAAAAACTTAAACTTTTTAAAATTTTATAAATTATTTTATTAGTTAACTATAAGTTTAAACTTTTAGAAACTATAAAGTATTACTTAATATTTTATATTTTACTTCTTAAACTAGTACTATAAGGATTATAAATAAATAACCTTATTATTATAAAAGATAATAAACTAAAGTATAAAGTAGAAAAGTTACTTAACTACTAATATAGAGATAATAAATAGGAATACCTTATTAAATAGAAAAACTATAGATATAAAGATAATATATAAGAACCTAATAATAACTTATTTAACTATTAAAATAAGATTAATAAGTATATTAAAATACTTAATTATATTAATCCTTAAGATAGACTAAGCCTATTTATAACCTTAGAAGAATTTAAGGAATATATAAAATATACTAACGAAAAGGAGAAATAAATATAGGAAGAAATATAATAGAAATAAAGAGAAACTAAGAAATAAGGGATATAACTTCTATTAATATAAATATAACTAAAAGGATACCTTAAATTAATATAATGAGAAAATATATTTATTTAACTAAGAATACTAAAATATAACTAAGATTCCCCTAATAAGAAATTTAAAGTATTAAGATTCTAATTAAGAATTAAATTTAAGTTTAGTATTTTAAAACTACTTATAGATTAAACCTCTAATATAGAAGACCTTATAAAAGGAACTTTAAATACCTTACCTTCCTCTATAACTACTAATATCTCCTTATAACCCTTTTTAAAAACTATTTACTTCGCTTTATAAATATAATCTAATTTTATAAATACCTTATTTACTTTAACTTATACTTTTTATAATACCTCTATTCTCTTTTAAAATAACTTTTTAGTTTCCTCCTCTTTATTATCTAGACGATAAGATTCCACTATTAATCGCTCTACTATAATAAGTTAGTAAAGAAAAACTAATAATAAAAAGATAAAAAACTATACTAATAGATCGTATTATTAGAAGTATTATAAGAGCGATAAGTGCTACTAATAGTGATATACTCCCTATAGATTAATAAACTTAATAGTATTTTATAATATAAACTTTTTAAGTAATAGTAGTAATAAAATAGGACTTTAAAACTATTCTTAGTAATATTAAGAGAATAATAATAGTAATAAAGTATAGAAATCATAGGATTTTTAATAATATAACCTAATATAGTGTTAATATTATAAGTAAAATAGAAAGTATAATTAATAGATCTCTAACTTAAGACTAATAACCTACTTATATTAGGTCTTAAAGGTAAGACCTTTAGAGGGAGGACCTAATATTATAACCTATAAATAAGGATAATAATTAGTTAACCTACTTTAAGCGTTAGGTAACTAGAATAGGATATTTATACTATAGGATTATAAGAATAGTAGGAACTCACTTAGTAATAGAAGAACTATAGTATAAGTTATATAATAATAAAATAAAACTAAGTAAATAGTATAAATTACTAAGTACTTAGTAAGAACTACTAAGTATTTATTAGTAATTACTAAGTACTTATTAATACCTAATTAGGAATTAGTAACTAAATAAAGGAACTATTTAAAACTTATATATAATATAACTTTAAACCTAGTTTATAATTAGACTTCTATAGCTCTTTAGTAATTAACTTAGTATTTATCCTTATAGATACTCTTAGCTTACCTTTACTATAAATTACTTATTAAACTTAAGATTAATTACCTTAGTTTCTAAAAGACCTAATCTACTATAGCTTATAACCTATAACTTAGACTATAACCTCAGTATACTATTATAACGTATTAATCTCTAGCTTCTATTAGTAGACCCTACTATTAGATAGCTAACTATAACAGGAACGTGATTAGCAAGAATGACGCAAGTCCTATAACAAGCCTTAGAATGTTAGATAGACAGGATACCTAGATTCAATAACAGCAGACAACGCAAAGCCTTCTTCTCAAAGAATCCAGCAGATATCTCAACCAATTCAAATTTAGCAAGAAAAGCAAAGATCATGTTTAGAAAGTTAGTAATCCTAAGAATCAACTAATAGCAGAAAATCATAGTTTGACAGGAGGCTTATTGAAAGCATTATGCCTAAGAGAATGAAATAGGACCCTACATTAAGGACAAGCCTCTCCAATAAATAACAAGAGTGAAGCTTTGAGCGAAGCATATACCACTCCGCCGTCATCCCACTATCCGAAGTAGATAATCGTGATGGACAGGACTTGCTGCTTTCTCAGAGTTGTAGTCTGAGGGGCTCCGTCTTAGTGTGGTGGCTTGGTGCTTCCAGCGATGGATGAGGACGCTACATCGAACAGTATTAAAGATGAAAAGGACTAGCGAACTATTGTATGTCACTATGAAAGCAAACAAGAAGGCTTGAGAATTCAGTTCAGTGCCGTTCTAAGTGCAGTACAAGAAATCAAGAACGCATTCTGGTAATTGCACTGGCTTCAGCACCCGCTCCCGAATATTTTAGCTGCACTGCGTGCCTCATCCTTCGTTATCCCTCCTTGGACATATTACTATTCTCTTCTCATCTGACCATTCTTCAACACACAAACAACTTTATTGCGGCTCATCAGCAGACTACTTTTCAGACTCTCAACATCTTAAAGCATGAAATTGCTGACGAGATTTCGTACTACAACTACATCTTCTGCCACATCTTGGGCTGCTGCCATGGCCTCAATCATGTCTGCCCCCCGGCTTGGCGCACTTCTGTTTCTCTGATCATCTCACGAAAGAGGCTGTACGATTACAGAAGGTTGTCAGCACGGAGCTAAGACGGTGCACATAAGGCTTAGGACTTCAGGATCCATTGGCTTGTATACATCGCAATGGCATTCACTTAGAGGCTAAGAATATGTACTTCTACTAAGGCTGAGACTTTATGAAGCTGGTGACTAATGATGCTGATATTACTAGGTTATTATCCCCCGCTAATCTAATGATGACATCGCGAAGCTCAACAGAAACAGCTGGGGAAAGCACTATCACTTGCCCACGCGATTCACTAGCTCTAAGACTTTGGAGAACTTTTGCGTATTACCTGCACGTTAGAGATTATCCGGGCCTCAACTAAGTAAGCCGCCTACCTCTAAACCTGTATTTTGTTAATAGGCTTCACCTCTATTGGGCCTGCAGCAGACGAACTGAGTTGTGAAACTTCTAGCATCCTCGAAAACCCTCATCAGCCCATCTTCAACCGCGTTCGATATGCAGTTGGGGTCTGTGTTTTCGAATGCGCGTGACTAGAGGCACTATAGCTTTCAAGCCAAATCAATCCATCTTTTTAGTCGATAACCTGACCGTTACAGTACGAGCTCTATCTGTCAGGCTTCCTAACTTTCCAAGGGATCATGAACATCTGTTGATCCGGTCTAACTGTAATGGTCCAGACTTTCCAGGTTGCCTGAGCACCAAGCTTAACCATCAATCCAGCCAGAAATGTTCAGGTGTACGCTTGCGAATACGGTGTTTTCTGTGCTTTGCTGATTGCGCTTGCTGAAGTACACGCTGAAAGGTTGAAAACGGAGGTGCAGAGCAGAGGATTGGTAGCAGCGGATGGACTATTGAATCCTCGACCATTTTCTCTGGTGGCCCATCATAACGGTCAACCACTTCTTCCAGAAAGACCCGCCTTGTTCTATTTATGCATGAGAGATATGGTCACTATGAGCTACGATTCGGTGCAGCATGCTTCAGGAACCTTTTCGCAGATGGTGTTTAGGTCATGGTCATCATCTATCAGGATGCTTCATCCTCCCGCTGGCGCCTTGCCTATATCCTTATTGAACGCGTGACTCGGAGCTCATGTTGGCTGACTTAGTTCTCTTCAACAGTCACCATGATGGACGTTATGCAAGCAAACACGGATGCTGAGCTCACGCCGCTCAAGGTGGACGGCTCTCTAATCTCGTTAGATACTCATTGCTTCGGGTGCAGATGACATAATTATGTGACTGAATTCCTGACTGCATGTCTCAACACGAACGCGGAGCATTCTCCGACTTGCGACCTTGCCCAAATACAAATCAACACCATCGCGTGGAGAGTAAAGCAGCATGCAGAATTCGAACCAGGAAAGCCTTCGGTCCAGCTGCTCGTCACTTCGAGCATCATCACCTGCGACAGAAAAGCGACCTCCTGGATGATCCGCAAACACGTGTGCCCCGATGTCGATCAAGCGCCCGGCGGCTTGTAGTCACTATCCTCGTCATCTTTGGAAATACGGCGCTTGCGCTTCTTGGTGGTGGCGGCGGCAGCGGCCTTTCGGTTTTCCAACTTGGCGAGCTCGACACGGTACTTGAAACGCACGCGGGAGAGCCAGGCGCGCTGCGTCATGCCGGTTCTGGCCGTGACCTTGTCCCAGTACGCGCTGACGGCATCGGGGTCTACGCGCTTCGCCAGCTTCCACGTCTCTTCGTCGCCGTCGTGGATGTCGGTATCGCGGACTTTGTACATGATCAGCAGGCCGTGATCGGGGTGAACGCCAGCGCGGCCGTTGGTGATCTCGGGGGAGACTGCGTCGGCGGAGACTTTGGTGTTAGGGTTGTCGCTCGCCGGGTTCTAGACGGCGTCGGCGGGTTTGGCCTTTGGCTCGGTCGCGGGAAGTGAGGTGCGGCTGGTGGCGGGGGGGCCGAAGGCGCTCGCGAGGGTGGTTTGTCGAAGCTTGGGCTTTGGCTTGGAGGCTGTGTGACGGTTGGCTGTGTCAGCTTCGAGCGGCAGATGAAGACAGAAACACCAGGGACAGCAGGAACGAAGGTCACCATTTGCTTACCAGTGGAATCGGTGACGGAAGACATCTTGAGCGGTGAGGAAACAGACGATCTGGCAGAAGGTGTGGGTTTGGGCGAGGGCCTGCCGTTTGCCATGCAAGAGTGAAGACAAGACGCAAGCTTGATGTTCAGTCTGGGGAGAAGTAGCGAGATATGAGTGTGAGAAGCACGAAAAAAAGCACTAAGGTCGATTGGTGGGGCCCTTCTTGACGTGTTGACTGTCTGAAGCGGAAGGTGGTGGGGGTGCTGGCTACATGCCACATCTGCCTTCTTACTCTGTATGCCTACCACGCCTGCCTACCACGCCTGCCTACCACGCCTGCCTGCCACGCCTACCTGCTACGCCTGCCTACTATACCTGCCTACTATGCCTGCCTACCACGCCTGCCTACCACGCCTGCCTACCACGCCTGCCTACCACGCCTGCCTGCCACGCCTGCTTGCCACGCCTGCCTGCTATACCTGCCTGCTATACCTGCCTCCTATACCTGCCTGCCATACCTGCCTGTAGGTAGGGATCCAACCTTCTCACCTGCATGGCATGGAGCATGTACCTTTCACCTTTTGGGTAGGAGGTATTGTTCATGAAAGCCTGTGAAGTCAAAATGGCAGGGAAGAATCGTCGCTCTTGATTTCAGTAATGCCAAGCCCAGCCCAGCCACCCCGTATGAACTGTCACTGGGGAACAAACGCCCAGGAACCGTACTCGAACTAGCATCGCGACTTCTCGGACGCCACGACATATCGTCACTATTTTGACCTCCTGCGAAAGTTGATCCTGGCTTGTTTTCTTGTGCCTCGTCCGTTCACCCCACCAGGCTTCGACCGCTGAAGGGTTTCGGCATGTCGCATCTTTGGCCCGAACCTTCGCATCTCGAAGTGGGTCACTTCTCCTCGTCGGTCATAGCTTCAAATATCGAATGTATCTTGCGCAGATGCATTTCAGGCCCAGCCCACGTCATGGCACTATTTTCCGCCGCGCAACAATCGGACTACTTGGCATTGGTTGGCTTGCGCTGTTCAAGCAACCTGCATCTGCTCCAAACATCCGGCATCTGCGTTCGAGGCAGTACTTAGCTAACAACGCGCTTTTCCCTATCACGCACCTTTGCAATTACCCAAGTTGATGGGGTTTTTGATGCCATGGTGCTGACACATCTTCCATCCTCGGAGCGCAGGACTGAGGCGAAGACGCACCGCGGTAGCTGTACCCGACAGCCAAAAATGAGCAAGCTGCCAACCTTGCGATCAGCACAAAGGGAGACAACCAAAAACAGGAACATCAACCTGGAAATTCCATCGAAGAAATTCGGGAGTGTTCCCGTCCAGATTTCCAACCTTCCGCCAACTTGGAGCCCCAATTCACGCAGCGTCAATCACTGCCGACGACATAGGTCGCCGATGATATCTGGGAGTTACTTGGCCGGAAACGGGCAATCTTCCTTGCTCTGCATCGAAGTAGAAGGGAAAGAAGAAGCACATGAAGCATGCACACCGCAACCTAGCCGCTACGACTCTAATGTCTCTAGTGTAATTTCGCCTTCGCCAGCCCATGTCGGCGACCACGATCGGCCTGCACGCCGTCATGTGGCGGATTACAATCACTAGTTTTGGGATATGCGAGAAAAGCGTTTGGCTGGCCATCACTTGACTTGGGACGGAGGAGTTCATGGCTACTGAGAGGGAATTTTCAATTGGGATGAAGAACGTGGTGGCCGACCGACGCAAAGCGGATTAAGGTCTAGCAGAGTTGGTCGGTCCACTGGAAGCTCGCGCGAGTCATGTGCTTCGCATCCACGGCAACCACTGCACGCCCTGCGTTAATCAGTCCCGCCCACACGCTGTGATTTGCTAGTAAGTGCCATCTGATCCACGTTCTTCTGCTCCGTTTTACTCTATTTTGACGTCGTCCGCGCTACATCCTAGATGCGCGCTTTTGCTTAATGTTCCTGCAGCTGCCGTCGCTATTATTCTGGGTTTGCGCACTCAGCTGCAAAGCTGGCAATGTTACTAGTATCTCAAGCTGAGTTGCCTACATGCCGTGGGAAAGCAGCGCTGGCATCGCGGTGGCTGAGGCTCATTCAAAGTGACAGTGTCCGGGCGTACCCTTCAAGTATACCGCAGTGACCAGATGCTGGCACATACGACCATACCCACTGGAAAACTCGGGATCCCGTCCGCTCTCCCATAGATAAGCCAGTGAGGGCTGGATTAGTAGTTGGGTCGGTGACGACCAGCGAATACCCGGTGTTGTATGTTTTCTTTTGCTCCTTTTTTTTTGCGCAGCTCTTCTTTTTTCGAGCAGCTCTTCTTTTTTTGAGCAGCTCATTTTTTCTTTTGAGCAGCTCATCTTAACTCATCATCAACTGACCACAACGGGAAGAAGATGTCACTCCGAACGCCGAACCGCTCTCACTCGCGCAATACCGCTGAATGTCCATATAACACTGCCACGTCCTTAAACCTGCTCACTCCAACGAGCAGCAGAGCGCGTGATCGGCAAGTCGGAAGGCCGCTCGCCGGCGTTGCTATCATATTACCTCCATGCGCTTTGCATCGGTTTCCCGTCAACGCAGCACCCCCACGGCCCCGAGGTTGTCGGCGCAGACAGTCAGTCTATTTCGACCTGCTTGGAGGTTGAAGCCAGGCACCAGCAGGTAAACGCCACGATTACGATCCCGACGCTGTCGACGACATACCGCGGGCATGTTCCGACACAACGGCAGTTGTCGCTGCTGTCGCCATGGAATCGCTGCTCTTCCCTCGGTTCCATTCAGCCCACTTCTTGCCGCCACATTCTCCTGACCTCGACCACAAACCCGACGACACCGCTGCCAAACACCACAATTTTGGTTCAGCCAGCTCCCTCGTAACCAAAAGGGATGCAAAGTCACCGCCATCCTCCAAGGAAGCCACCTGACGTGACGCCGGTCTGCCATGTCCTCAGAATGATGGACTCTTTGTGACCGTCTTCTGCCACTCTGATCAACCTCTTCTGAAATAGAACACTCCTTTCTTTGCACGCTCGGCGAATCTATGGAACCTTTTGATCCCCTAGGCCGCATGCTCCTACCACCTGTCGGTCGTGGACATCCTTGCCGGCACCTCAGATTACGCGTCTCTGGAGATGCTCTATCTACCGTTTCCGCAGACCATGTTTAATCTCATCTCGCCGGGTGTGATCTGGGTTGCTGTAAGTGTTCTTCGAATCTCAACAGCACAAATCCAACACCTAGACGTTCAAGAGTTCGAGCAGCTGATGCCATAGATTTCTCCTACATCTTAGCTGCCATCTCTTCCGTTGGCTCGTTCATCGGCCTCTTCGTCCCTGTCCGCTCGGGTAGCAAAAAAGGTGGGGCTTCCGACCCAGTGCGAAGTCATGTCTCTGGCTAGGGTTGCTAGCCTATCCCGCCCTCTCCTCACCAGCATCAACCATGCCACCGAACCAGTGATTAGGAGATCAATGACCTCAACTTCGCCACGGCCAACACCTCTGTCTCTCTACTTCACTGCATCCCCCGAGCCTTTCCAAGATTCATTACCCGTACGGAATATGTCGCTTCGAGTCACCTAAACCGAGACATTGGCGATGTCTACGACAGCCTTGCAAACAACCCATTCCGAGCGATCTGGCCGAATCTGGTTCTCCTTGGTCTAAATGACATGGAGTCTAACCTTTTTGGGCAAGGAAAATGCCTGTCCGGCCAAACCCAAGCGTCCGCCCCTCCCCCATTGGAACTTGCATCACCTTGCTCGTGTACGGATTCTATCCTCTTTTGGCCGAGGATATTTCCACAAGCCCCAAGCGCTACCCGTCTCGTTGAGCGAAACGCTACGGACGCGTCCTTTTAGTACCAGTGGTGGGAAGACCTTGGTCGTCACTTGACTCATAATGGTGGTTTGATTCCTGCATTGCAGGACTTCTGACAACAATTCCAGAAGCAAATATACTGACGCATCGCTCAGAGAGTCGGTCCTCTCACTTTGCGGTCCTCGAGTGCCCATAAATTCAAATTGCGATGTGAAGAACTTGATCTAACCCTTCCGTGAATGTGGCAGCTAGTAGCAGCTGCATTTGGAATTCAGCCAAAAGTCGGCCCGAACATCGGCTTCCAGCTTTATGTACCGGTGGTGGACGTGAGACGATAATCGATTCCTGGATACACGGACGTTCAGCTGAAGTTGGAGCACGTGGGTGACCAGCAGTCCCGACCCGGATTATGAAATGTCCAAAGCAGCTGGGACAAAACCATTCTCGGATTCCCTATGTCATGCCAAAAGCCGTTGCCACAGGCCGCTCTTCCAAATGCCGTAGCACCGTTTGAAGCCAGTCGCTCTCTGGATGACCTTGGGCTACTCCTGTTATGGCCATAAGCTTATTGCCCGGGACGGTCAGGTGTAGGTCGCTATATTCCTACAGTCGGTCTTACCATGCCGAAAGAAAGGCGTTGCGTTGAGACTGTCGAAGTTGCTTAGTTGCCTGCTTGAGAAGATGCTTCGTCATGGGGTCAATGGCTGAAAAGAATTTGGGGTGGATTTCGCGAGGGAATGGACCAGTAGCCCTCAAGTGTTCACAGTGCCGAGGGTTACCTCCAGAGGAAAAGCCCACCAGTCGATGACTTAGCATACGATCTTGATATACCTAAGCCCCTGAGTTGAGATGATGGTCCTCGTGTGTGATGAATGCCCCGGCAGCCTCAGTTGAATGTCTGTGGACCATGAAACGTTTTTCATCTCCGGTGGAGAGCACCAGTGGCACAAAAGAGGGTGTATTGTGGACGGCAAGGCATCCTGGGCGCACACTTGTCAATGAGAGCGCGGCCAAGGTGCCGAGTGAATTCCCATAAACCTGCACATTTCCGGCGCCTTGAGCTTCCAGTCCACACCGCCATCGCCATCTTGCAGAATGCACAGAGAGTCGATCCACAAGACGCAAATCAAGGGGTCAACATATCAAGGTCGCGTCGCGCAGGGCCTCTGGCGTGCTGTCGAACCCAAATATACGGGCCACAAACTCTTTGAGATTC